TATACGGCTCAAAGGTAACTTTTTTTATGAAGGACTTTTTATGTTTTCAAATTTTTAATCAAGTTTCTGATAATGTCTGTGTCTTTTCTTGGTGATGATTTTATAATTGATATGCAATCTAATACTGGAAGATGATGAATTTTCAACTCTAGAGGTTGTGCAGGTTGTACTCTTAAGTAAAAGGATCAGGCGATTATTGATGGGAGTTGGTATAGCCAACCAAACTAAAATTTGCAAGTAGAGGAGTTTGAAGAGTAATTTTTAATTGGCGGTGGACTTGATATGGAAGTTATTATGCTAATTGACTTGAAAACAGGGGAGGTGTAATTTTGCAACTGATGGTTGGTTCATTCAGTGGCTATTACTGTATTTATTACAGGTTGATTTCCTTGAAATGGAGTAGAGAGGCTACTGGAAGTGATCTAAGGAGGTTAATAAGGAATGTGTCTGATTTCCTTGGAATGGAAAGAGAGGCTATTGCAAATTTTCTGAGTTGAGGAGTGGATGCGTGTGGGAATTGGGTGGTGTGGGAATTGGGTGAGGTGAGACGTCTCGACCAGGAGAATGAGGTTAGTCAGAATTTAAGTCAGTGATGATGTCACGACTAGTAACACAGGGGATGAGTTGAAAATGCCCGTCTGGATCTGAGAAAAGAGATAGTTATTCCTTAGACTAAGAAGATATGTTTGATATGGAAGGGCTCCTTAACCTGGTATTGCGTATTGTTTTTCGGTTATGGCTGAATATGGAAGTGTTTTAGGAGATGTTGTCAAATTATCAAGGCAAAGCAACCCGGATTGAATTATTGAAGGTGATCCATGGCATGGTGTAATTAAGCTGTTAAATTTCAAAAGTAGAGGCCACAGATGGAGTTGTTAAAATGCAGGTTAATACAGATTTGGACTTAAGTTGAGATGTGGAAAATCTCAATGCAGCATTAGAGTCCGGAGTGACTTAAGTTATATTTTTTAGCATGCTTGGTATTCATTAATTCTATATCTGGGTGGGTGCAGCTACTGGATGAAGATTGAAAGTTTCTTATGACAGTATGTCTACTGAGTTTGTACTTGATTATAGATGAATTGACTGAGTTCAATACTTTGATATGTTCAATGATGATTTTGTTGATAGCAATGTTAAAAGTATAGAAACTGCACAGCCGTGAATTGTTATTTGTGTGGTCCTTATTCATTGGATGGTTAGTTTTTGCTATATTACTAATCACTGTAACAGAAAAGAAAGGTCAAGTGAAAAATATAGCTGTCTGGAATAAGGGGTACGTTGTCCCCTTGAAGTAGAGGTACTGAGGAAATCCGAATATATAAATAAAGGTCAAATGTATTGCTGAAAATAGAAAAAACAAATGACTGAAAGAGCATTATGTAAATGGACTTCCTGGTTGCTCTCTTATAATCAATGTATTCATGTCTCTACTTGCTGGATATATAAATTCATTGGGATAATAAGAGGCGAGTATGATGCTGAAAGTAGAGCAGATTTTTGTGTCCAATTGTTTGTGAAGCAAATGATATCGATTTGTTTTGGGGTTTATATATGCATCAAATAGTGGTGAAATGGGGAAAGAAATTGTGGGTGAGGTTGAAGGAATGGCAGTCTTGCAAATAGCATTCCTTAGATTCTCTTTTTAGGTTATTATAACATAACTGTACATGGTGAAAATATTAAGTGAAAAAGTCGGTAATGATATGATATGGCTTTCGTTGAGTTAGACTGGTAGATCAAAATATATTACAATGCTTCTTTTGCTAAAAGGTTATGGTTGAATTGATTCAAACTGTTTGGTGGAGTTTATTCTGCCTGGAGTGTCTGATGATTGGCATAGCTGTTATTAGCATTGGTCCCATTGTTGTGTCCAAGCTGAAACTATTTAGACTCTTAACACTAGACTAAGAATATGGAGGCTAACCAATCTATCCACTATTGTTGGCTTCTTATGCGAAGGGAGTCCTCTGTTTAGACTTAAAAATAAACCTAAGATATGAGTACCGAGTTAAAAGACGTCTATAAAGTATGAAAAACCATTTAATGGTGTTTCAACTGGGGGACTTACTGCTTGGGGTCTGTTGGAAACAGCTTACAATAAGATTTTGCAGGAATCTGGTAATAAAATAATATGGTTTTGGTGTTTGTGGAGGGCTTAATAAGTTTGTGGAATGAATTTGCAGTCCAGCTGGACCATAGGTATATGATAAATGTGGTGTATGTAGTTCTTAGTAGCAATTTATGCTGTAAAGGAAATCACTTATATGATATTGTACATGATCAATATGGCATTATGGAACATTCTTCATAAAATAATTGCAGTGGAGCATCACCTACCATTTGTGATTTTAATGATCGCAAACTACTTTTTTTCTGTTTATACCATAGTGTTTTAAATTGCAGGACCATTTCATTATTTCCTAGGCACAATTATCATATCATAATTGTCAAGGAATCACTGATTCTTGTGATGGATGCTAACATAATGTTAAGTTACATGATGGCGTGCCATTTCTTTTTCACCAGAATATAAATATGATTTTATATACTACTGGATGTTGCAAGGATGTCTTTTGTTCCCCTAGGTTTTAGAGAATAGGCAACACTGTGCTGTGGACAATAAGATGGATCTAATTGATTTTTGTCCTCTGTCCAGGTGCCCACGCCTTAGAAGACTTGTTTTACCAGCATGGAACCGAGTGGAGACTGTAATGATCGAAGCTATTCATTTATGGAAAGATCTTGAATCCCTGACAATGCCAAGCATAGTGAATTCCCCTTGTCTTGTTCAGGCAATTGCTACTAATTGCAGGAACTTTAGTGAACTCAAGATCATGGGACCGTTTGACATGTATTTTGCATCCTCACTCGCTACCTATCTTCCAACGTTAAAAGTTTTGAGCCTCCGATGCTCAAAGCTATACAGGGACACATTGATCTTCATCTTGGATAATCTGCGGTGCCTAGATGTGCTCAACATATCGCATTGCCTTCTAATAATCCCATCACCTCCTGCACCAGGAAGAATTGTTAGGCGGCTTGATAAAACTATCCTGGAGAAAGCTTCTCGGTTACGCAAATTCTTAACCTGCATGAGAGACAATTGCATCATGTGTCAACGGACAAGAAATGATGAAGGCCTCATGCGTTGGTACAAGTATGAGAAAGGGCTATGGAAGGAAGATGAGGTCAGGTCTCTTGCTCTTTGATTTGAGCTTTCCAGGATCAAATTTCTGTGGGGTAGAATGTATCCCTTTTCTTGGTTATTCTTTCACTTTATGCCAGGAACAGAATAAGACAATGTTGTAGGAAGCAACTCAGGGCTTCCTGTCTATTTTATGGTAGTTGTGGTGATAAAAAGCCAAACTCTGGGTAGTTGTAGAGGGCTGGAGATTTTCTTTTAATGCTCGTAGATGTGTGTACGTGTATATATATGTTAAATTGCACTGTTTCGTTGTTTTTAGGTCACCTTTTATTTATTTATATTTTGTTTTTCCTGATATATAACATAGTCTGTACCTCCTAACTTCCTTCCAGACATTGAATGGAGGCTCATTAATATAATATTGCCAGCGTTGAAGATACGCTCAACTGATACTTTGAACCTGTGGTTTGATTAAAAATATTTTGTCCAATATTATAATGAGGTTGAAGGGCTGTGACTTGAACTGGTCTTGTATAAACATGATTTTCTCCTTCAATTTTCTGTGCTTAGAAGTTGAAAATCCCAGTTTTTAGTCGATTTCCAGATTGTTCAGCAGTCAAATTCCAAACCCATAACAGTCCTCACTGCAATTTTCTCCTTCTTGACTCATGGATTGACGGACAATTTGCATTATTTAATAAAATTTATGTCTTGTGAAGGACAAGTTTGAAGAACAGCTGGGCAGAGACGAAGATGAAAATCTTAAGCATTTGTTTTTTAATTTTTATAAAATTTCAAATCATTTAATTCACATAAATATTGGAAGTTGATATATGTACAACAAGTTATTTCTAACTAATCTTTTACATGTTCTTCTTTTGAAAAAAAAAAAACCTCACGCTATTAATTATCATGGTTAAGGTATTGATTTAGATGATAACTAATGTCATTTGAGTTATTAATTAGGGTTTGAATTCAAGGAAATATCGAGACCTTTTCGTGAATAATCCAAATAATTGATTTAATACGTAATTGAAAGGGGGATTGGTGAGGGAAAGCTAGCCAAATGTAATTACTATTTTTTAATCTAAAACTTCTAGCTGTAAAATCAAGACCAGTTCAACAAGTGATTTGAGACCCACAGTTAACCCAGGACTAGGGACATATTCGAGTTAATGAAAAAAGAGATTTTTCAGGGAAATAAATAATAACCTTATATATATATATATATATTGTGGACCCAATTATTAGGGCTATAATCAACCTTTAATGTTAATTTTTGTTATGATTTCTTTTATTAAAATAATATTATTTTAAATTTTTTTAAAATAAATTAGAAGATGAATCTTACTATCTCTTATCCTGCATTTATTCCTGAGTTGATTTTATAAATATATTTTTATGTATAGAATAATTTTAAAATTATTTATTTGAAATTAAAAGTTTTATTATATAAACTTGTCAAATCAAATCCGTGTACGAATCATGATAAAATAGATTAGGCATACTTACGTGTATGGTTCATGATAAAAATAAGTTAGGTATACTTGCTTGGCTTGCTAAATTGAGCAACACATGATTTTTACTTTATTATTTTAAAATATTTAAGTTTATAAGTATGAATATAAATTAAATTATAAATAAAATTTTTGTATGGTGTGGTATACTGTATTGAAAAAATTATATGAAATAAAAATGTTTTATTAATATTTTTTATTTTTTTATTGAATATATTGTATGTTTTTATAATAAAAGATTTATTTTTATCTACCCAAAAATATTTTTTATTTTATTTTTTCCCATGAAATAAATAAACAAAAGGAAGAAACATTTATTTATCTACACAAAGTGATTGTAAATCTCAAATATTCATTATTTCAGACCAAACCCCACGGGACTCTGAACTGATAAATCCCTCCCTCCCTCCCCTCTAAAAACTGACAAAAACATGGCTTTGGAGCTATGGGAAACAGTCAAAGAAGCCATAACAGCATACACAGGACTATCACCAGCAACTTTCTTTACAGTTGCAGCTTTAGGGTTAGCTGTCTACTATGTGGTATCAGGTTTGTTTGGTGGGTCTGATCATCATCATCATGTTCCAAGACAATCTGAAGAGCAGATGCAACCTTTACCTCCACCTGTTCAACTTGGCGAAGTCACTGAAGAAGAACTAAAACAGTATGATGGTACTGACCCTAAAAAGCCTTTGCTTATGGCTATTAAGGGTCAGATCTATGATGTTACTCAAAGCAGGTAAAGGTTCCGTCTTTTTGTGGTCTTTTTGGTCGTTTTTGACTTCTGAGCGATGAAAAGTAGTGGGTTTGTATTCTTTTTTGAAGTGATGAGATTATTGTGTGTTTTGGGTCAAAGGGTGTTTTGAGCTTATTGATTTTGTGAAATTTTGGGATTTTTGTTTGAATTCTTAGTTGATTCCAGGAAATCAGTTTTCTTTTCCGTGTTTGACTTTTTGGTGATCTTTGTTGATCACTTTCTTTTTTTCTGTGGTTTTTGCTACTTTTTTGGTACTTGTTTGTGGTGAGTCTCGAAAAGAGATGCTACTTTTTCTTAGTACGGTCTTTGAAAGGTTGCATTTTTTCAAATCCTTTTTAATGGATTATGTGGCGAAGTTGGAGTGTAAATCCCCCCCTCTCTTGTGATAAAAAGACTTGATTCTGATACATTATCTGGGCAATTTGTTTGGTTTTATGGTGGTCTTCTCTTATTTTGTTTGTTTTTTCTTGTTTATGAGCAATGTTAAGGTATGGTTTGATTTTAAGTGATGGGATATTCTTTGTGGTAACTTGGATGAGGCTTCATTCAGACAATGACCAATAAGTAGAGGGCTAAAATTTTGAATTCCAGCACTCTTTTTCAAGCTTTTTGTAACTTGGATTGCTAAAGCCTAAAACAAATTTTGTATATTATCAGAAGTTTATTCTTAACAGTTCATTTGCTGCAGCTAAATGAATGATCTTTAGTAGGAAGGTGTTTGGTGTGATTCTCACTCTGTATTTATCAGAAGTTTATTCTTAACAATTCATTTGCTGCAGCTAAATGAATGATCTTGAGTAGGAAGGTGTTTGGTGAGATTCTCACTCTGTATTTCCTATTGCTTCTTTGTGAGTGGTTTTAGTGGTCGACCACTGGGTTTGATAGGAGACATTTGTGAATCTTAAGTCTGCTGACCTGCTCATCTTCAGCGTTTGGCAAACATTTATTTTTGTTATATGTGATGAACAAACAATGACTAGAACCCTTTTTGGGCATGATTTAATCAAATCTTGTATCCCCTAAATGTAAACCATTCCTTTGTTTACAACACGCTACCTGATAGACTAATAATTACAATCACATCATGATTCTTATGTGGATATGGCCTGACACCTTAGAGATACGAAGACCCGGAAGATGTGTTTGTCATTTTTTTTCCAGTGACTTGAGTGATGTGTAGTGTATGTTAACATTGACCATGAATTAGAATCTTATCAGCTGAGACCTGAGAGTGGGCTATTAATCTTAGTATGAGACCGTGAATTCTGTGCATTAGGATTTGAAAGTTATGAATTGGTGCTGAAACTTGTAAACTTGCTATGCATTATTTGTTACAGGATGTTCTATGGACCTGGTGGACCTTATGCATTGTTTGCTGGAAAGGATGCTAGCAGAGCTCTAGCAAAGATGTCTTTCGAAGATAAAGATTTAACTGGTGATGTCTCTGGTCTTGGTCCATTTGAATTGGAGGCCTTGCAGGATTGGGAATTCAAGTTCATGAGTAAATATATTAAGGTTGGAACAATCAAGAAGACGGTTCCTGTAACTGATGGAACCTCCACCAGTGAACCTGCTGCAGAGGCTACAGAAAGCGATGTTGCTAAGCCAGCTGAAGATGTTCCATCAGTTGCTGCACCTGTTGAAACTCCTGCTGGTGGTGAATCCAAGGAAGAGTAATTGGCGAAACAATCTTTAATGAAGAAAGAGCTGTTTGAACACATGTTTTTAGCGAATCTAGCCATTTATATTATGTATTATTAGCTTCACAGTTCTCAGTCTAGAATACTCGTGCTATAAACTTGCCCAAGCTTTACAGTTCTCAGTCTAGAATACTCGTGCTATAAACTTGCCCAAATTTTCAGCCTGCTATTTAATAAATTGGTCGTTTAAAGTGTGGAGATTGTAACTTGTGTTAATTTGATTGTGCTAGTTGCCCAGCGATCGTTGTGGTGGATTTATTTTACTTGTGGATTGCATCAGCATTATTTGAGCTCTGTAAAAGTCGGATAAATTGTTAATAAGCAATAAAAATCTTGATTTTCTGCATCATTTGCAATGATGTTGTGTTTATCCTCCATTTGTAAGTCTGCTTAGATTATGCACCCTCCATTTGTAAGTCTGCTTAGATTATGCTTAGTGATCTGAGAAACAAAAATATGAAATTGAAAATCTTTTTATTCCTGCAGGGTCTCTTTCATAAATCCCAAGCTATGCCGAGTGTGCTCGGTGATCTGAGAAGCAAAGATAAGAAATTGAAAATCTTTTTATTCCAGTTGTCATTCGTAAAATCCTTAGCGATGCAGAGCCCTGCTGCTTCTCTTACGCGTGCCATGCAATTCCCAATGGACGACTATACAATCCCATTATGATTTTCATTTTTAACATGCTGGCGATAGATTAGGTTCTCCATTCATGATGGTGGTTTCCTGTGTTTCCCAGGAGTTTGGCTTGGTAGCAAGCTGGGAAGTCTGCACAAGTTTCCAAGTCAGGTTCACGAGGGGGATTCTCGTTCTTAACATGAACCTGAATGTTGGAAATGAAACCAGTCTTGTTGAACTCTGGCGGCTCAAAGCTACCGCTTCCCATGGTTGGCAGAGGATCATTTGCAGGGTCGTAGACCTGTCCTCTAAATTGTCATCTGATGCAAAATCGCCTAAGCCGGTGACAATGATTTTGGCTCTAACTTGATCAGCACCACCACGGACTTCTAAGCACCAATTTCCGTTTTCATCCGGCAGTCAGATACAAGAATGTGTTAGATGTCAGAAAGAAATTCCAATGATAGAAAATTTCCAAACACATATAATATTATAGTGTTACCTGACGAACTTGAAACGTCACCAAATATCGAAGCCTACCGTATGTTGACGGGTTTAAAATTTCTAAACCTAGATAAGATTTAGGACTGACTTGAACGAAACCAGGGCAACGAAGATCATAGCATCCACTATTCCCATTGTTGGCCTCCATTGTTGCGAAAAAAACTGCATTGCTTTCATCATCAATTCAAATGCAGAATCAAAATATTGAAGTACAAGATTTCTTTTAGGGGCATACGGTCCAGAAGTTGTAAGTTCGCGTTTTGTTGTCTCCACATAATCCAGGATTCACCTAAAGCATGCCCCCAAAAGGATAAAGAATTGTATTGAAGGCATTGGTAGTTACAGAAGAGAAAGGCATGCAAGATCATTTCCTAGTAAACTCCAGCTCCACTATATTGGTTGGGAGTCACAGTTTCATTATATATATACTGACAGGTCCCCTGAGTGCATAAAATTGAGTAGATGAGTCTACAGCAGTTTGAGCCGTCACATACTGCATTAAAATTCCTAAATTACATCAATGTTAACAAGAAATATGGTGAGGGGAGGTGGCTACAAAGGAAAAGAAAATTGCTATGCTTCAGCTGTTGCATATATAAAGGTCGACTCGCATAGCATCTTTTGCCGTTCGAAACAGATGAAGGATCTGCTGAAGGGAGTAATCTTGACAGAGATTTTGCTCTCATTAGATCTTTCTCCTGATGGGAACAGTTCTCGGTGGACATTCCACCCCCACTCGCGGGCTTGTTTTCACAGATTGTGACTTTGCTGTCGTAAATTCTTTCAGCTGATAACTGAGCCACAGCTGCTAACAACATTGAATGCGAACAAGATGATGAAGCGCAAAAGAACTCCAACGATTATTGCAGGTCATTCGCTAAATTTTATACAAACCTGAATTGTGTGGTTTCTAAGCAAGGGATGATCAAAAGCAGGTTGCTTGTAGATATCAACGCAATCGATAACACTATCATCCTTATTAGGAGTTGGATATCAATCAATCAGTAGCATTGCCATCCTTTTCCTGTGCAAGAAAAAGGGGAACAAAGACATGGTAGTGTATTGATAGCATTGATATCTTGCTCCTAATAGGTGGTTTATTCAACGCCTTGAGTTGTCTATCTAGCTCCATGTTTTCCTGCTAGGATATGAAGCTTAGCCTTCTTTCAAACATGAAACTCAAACTTAGCAAAAGAAGAACAACACAAAGAATCAAAGATGCCATTATATATAGTGCACAAAAAGGAGAACAACTCCCTTAGGGATTCAGTTTTACTGATCTCTATTGATGGATTACATGGATTAATCCAACTGCCCTGCATCTTGACACACATTGGTTGTCTTTATCTTTGTTTTCCATAAGAGGATTGAAAAGGAAGTGTAACTGCATAATTATGACCATCGTTAACTTATAATGGCAACAGGCTAAAATGCCTCTAGGCTTACAAACCGACTGTTAACTTATAATGACTGACACGACTAAAAAATTGATGTCTTCTTCCAAGTATAGGAGTGTCGAAGTAATAAATAACCTAACAAGACCGGGGTCGAACCATAGAGAGGTTAATTATACAAATTATAAATAACAATAATAATAATAATTATTATAATTATAATAGTAGTTGCAGAAATAAACTGGATAATTTATAAAAATATAATTTTATTTACAAAAATTAAAAATTATCTTTAAAAAATATATTAAAATGATAACATATCAGATTGATCTAGACCAATTTAGACTAATAGGTGAAATTCATGACCCATATTATTAGACCATTATAACCTTATATAAAACAAATAAAAATAAATTATAAAACTCAATTTATATTCAACACTTTGTTGAAAAATATAATCGAAAAAAATAATATAGGTTAACCTATTAAATCTGTAACTTGAGTTATAAGATTAGGATAACCTTATAGAAAATAAATAGAAAAAATATTTAAATCACTTGGATTATCCTGGCAAACCCCAACCAAGGTTATGAGATTGTGATAATTATATAAAAAGTAAATCAAAACAAGTTATAAAATCTAGTTTTCAATAAAATCATCAATAAACTCAATGATTAATGATGAAATTAAAAAAAAATCAATTTAAAAATAAGACACAATAAAATGATCCAAGTTTACAACCCACAAAACATGTGATCCAAGTTATTAGACTAGTATAACCTCTTAAAAAAACAAACAAAAATAAATCATTAAACCTAATTCATAATTAATTCAATGATAAAATTAAAAAAAAATCAATTAAAAAAATATAAAAAAAGTCAAATAAATTAACTTGTCATATTCATAACCCAGATCATGAGACCAAGACAACTTCATAGAAAGCAAATCAAAATAAATTATGAAGTCTAATAATCAACATAAAATTAAAAAAAAATATATCAATTAAAAAAAACTTGAGTTAATAAAGTTAACATGTTAAAGTCGTGGAATAGGCTATAAGACCAAGTTAAAGATGTATTAAGCAAACCATAATAAATTAAAAGGCTTAATATTTAATAAATTAAATGTTAAAAAATAAAATTAAAGAGAAAAACATAAATTTAGAAAGAAAGAAAAAACAAAAGCAAAATAAAAAAACACTATCCATTTTAGTTTATTGTTAATTACCTATCTAACCCACTCTCCATTGGGGGTTATAAATTTTTCTTTTAGAAAAATATTGGACATATAGGTATTTTAATGTGTTTTTTTACATAAAAAATTCAAATAAAAAATCAAAAGGCCTATAAATCATCCAATTAGAAAATAAACAAAGAAGAAGAAGTTAACAACAACCAAAAGAGAAATTGAAAAAATTAAGATATAAATGTAGATTAAGATAGTCAATAACACAAAATAAAACATTTAACTGGTTGTGTTTACTAAATTTATTTATTTAAATCAATAAAAGATAAACTCATATAAAAACAACATGTGACCTAAAGATAAAAAAAAAACTTATTGAATAAACTTAAACCTAAAAAAAATATAAAGCAAGGCTGAATATATTAGAAATATTATTTAAAAACAAATATTTATTTAGAAAAATAAATTTTACATGTATATATTAAAAAAAAATCATAGATGAATTAGAATAATATCTTAAAAAATTAAACACAAACAAAACAATTTTTTAAAAAAAACTTATATTAAAAAAAGATAAGCAAAACTCATAACCTAAAACATAAGACTAGGATAAACTTATAGAAAATAAATTGAAAATAATCACAAAATATATATTTTAAAAAATAAAATTAATATAGAACAATAATATCATACGAAGTTGAATCCCTAACAAATTCAATATAAAAATAAGAAATTATGAAACAAAATCAATTACATAAAATAATCTAAATAAAATGAGGTGAAAATAAAAAAACATATGAGATATATAATTAAAGAAATAAATTGAAAAATAAAACAAAACTTCAATAAAAAAATAAGAATGAAATAAAAAATTAAAACAAAAAAATAAAACAAAAAATAAAAAGAACAATCATGCATTTTATCTTGCAAGAAAGGTAAACAAAAGATAAAATAAAACCACAAGCAATAATTTAACCATCATATGTTGTGATGCACCAAATCATGTGAATAAAAACATGATGGCATATTCAAAATAATGATAAAAGATCATGTTTGACTACCAAAGTAGTGTCAAATATACAATCTAAATGTTTTGGATGTCATTCACTTATTAGAGTATGTATGAAAACAGTTTTTTTATTAAAAAAATAAAAGTTAATATAAAAATACCGAAACACCTCTCTTCACTTTATTAATTATCCAAAAACCTATGTACAAATACACCTGTTAATAAAAAAAATTGAGGTGAAATTCGTATTTTTATTATACATGAAGAATGAAAAACCCGGAAAACCTTAGCCTCACAATCTAATTTTTTTATTCCATGGATAAAGAAATATTTTTATTGATTAAAAAATTATAAAAATATTTTTTCAACAACTCTAAATTTTACTAACTTCAAGAATAAAAATATAATTTTAACTATACAAAAATAAAAAAGTAAAAACTTAAACACCTAAAATAATTTTTTAATAACCAGTGGATCAGGAGAAAAATCAAAACCACCCCGCAACACAACCAAGGTCACCATTTCTTCCATTAAAAGGTAAAATATTAATTTCACTAGCATTACATTACATGTATTTATTGTTACAGTGAAACAGTCACATCATATATATTTTGTTAAATTTAATATGGTAGGCCCCAAACATGCC